GAGGGAAAGGAGACTAAACATCCAAGAGCGCAACTAAGTGTTAGATAGGGGAAGACAGTGTAGAAGCTCCCAGACGCAACGGGGGGGAACTCCCCAACCCCCCGAAGACAAATAGAGAAGAATTACACTTCAGGGGGATCCCTAAGAAGGCACTTATGAAGGTTCGTTTAGAGAGGACATTGGGAGGGAATTGAATAAAGTGCTAAGCAAGTTCCCCAGGAAAGTAAATGACTCCGTGGTATCTCTTTAAATCCTGACAAAATGAGTGGAGGATTTCCATTTAGCCTGTATATGGAGGAGCTACTAAGACTAGCAGACAATAGTCTCTGTAGATCCAGTGAGAAAAATTTGGGGAATGAGCTGTGCTATATTAAGAAGAACAAGTGGAGTAACAGTTCGAGGGGTTGGTGGAATAGTTGGAACCTAGACGAAATTGAAGACCGAGGGGTATTACCAGTATTCCAAGCGAGCGCCAAAATCTGTAAGATAATAGAGGAATGGAGCAGTAGATTGACTAGAGGAGACGAGGGGTCGGTAGTGTTTGAAGAAAGAAGTGGATGTGACATTAGCAGCTTAGGATTAGCATTGAGAGGGGGCAGCAACACAGGACGATGTCCGACGGAGCCCATAGGTCTTGAGTGGCTCAAAAGTGATGAAGACGGAAATATATCATCTAATACCGTTTCTCAGAAGAGGATGAAGGTATGTCAGGCTATAGTCCAGATAATGATTAGGGAGTATGGGATGTCGTTACCAAAGGGTGGGATAGGCGAGGGATTTACTGAGGGAGAAAATCGTTGTCAGGGCGTGTATGAACAATTAAAAAGATGGGGTGGCATTAACGTAGCTGAACATATAATGAATAATTGGTATACAGTTGAGAGTACTTTGCAAGTAAGCGAGCAGAAGTATAAAATTACGGGGAAAGATCTGTTTGAATTAGTGCAAGAGGCAGTTTGGGGTACCGATAAGGGTGAGAAGATGTTAGGATGTAAAAAGTGTCTCCCTGGCAACAGATGGACCAAGGGCCAAGAACCTGTTTGGTGTGAGGAGCTATTGAGTAGTGGAGTGTCTGGGGGTCCCCAAGCACATCATCTTGCGTCCTTCCCCGTGGCTACTGAGGACACATTGACCAGTGGGGGACAGGAGGTGTTCAAGGAAACAAGAGAGGACGAGCAGACGACACTGGCCGTAGGGGGGAGGCCGAGAGGAGACCAAAAAGGGGAACTCCCCACGGGGGCAGAGTTAGGGGGGAGAGGAGTAGGAGGACAAACCAGCATAGATCGTGTTGCTCCCATTATAGAGGAAGACGAGGCGGGCGTATCATATTCTGGCATGTTGGGGGCTGGCATCTCTTTGATTCTGGCAATAGTCGGATCCTATGGATTGTTTAGGATCTTTAATACCAGGAGTAGGCGAAGGGGGGGGGCGAAGGGCGCGAATTATCGTGGGGCCTTGATGTATCGAGCGATGCCAACGTGACATGATTTAGCGTCTAGGGTTCAGGGTTTGGGGTTTAAGGTGCAGGGCTCAGGGTCTATGTCTTAAGTTTAGGGATTGGAGTTAAGGGTTTAGCGGTCAGGATTATGGGTGTAGGTTTAGGTCTTGACGGTTTAGCGTTTAGAGTCCAGGTTTACGGTTCAAGCTTACGGTTTCAGGGTTTAGTATTCAGGGTTACGGGTTCAGGGTTTAGGATTCAGGGTTACGGGTTCAGGGTTTCTCGTCCAGGTTTTAGGGTTCAGGTTTTAGTGTCTAACTTTTATTCTTTAGGGTTTAGGGTTTAGGGTTTAGTGTTACTGTTTTACGATTTAGGCTTTAGGGTTCAGGGGTTATTGTTCACGTTTTATGATCTCGGCTTTAGGGGTTAGGGTTTACGGTTCAGAGTTTACGCTCTATGGTTCAGGGTCAGGTTTCTCAGTTTAGCCTATAGCGTTGTCGGTTCAGTTTTACGATTCAGGTTTTAGTGTTTAAGGCTCACGTGGGGCTTTTTAGCGGCTGGGTTCTAGGTTCTAGAGTCTACTCCTTAGGAATTATGGTTTACTTCTCAGGTTTTCTCATGCACGAGGTTCTTCCTATTCTTACAGTCTACTTTTTCGGCCCGGCTTCCGGTTTAGCTCTTATTCATTAGGGCTTATCATTTTTTGCTTAATACTTAATGTTCAGGTTTGAGTGTACAGTGTCTATGCTCCTACCCCCATATCTTGCGTCTATCCCTTACGGTTTCTGCTATATACTTCTGTCCTGAGATGTTCGATGTATTTCCCTGCTCTTGAGGGGGGGGGGGGTCCCACAGCTGTGCGCTCATCGTTCTTTTCCCATTTTTCCCTGTTGAGCGTTCCTGCTGTAAACTCCATGGGGAATTACACTCCTTTTATTCTTTAGGTTTCTACAGAACTTGGACTACGGTTTATGACTTAAGGGTTAGGGTCTAGGACCAAGGTTTCTGGATCCATGCTCTCGGGGGCTGCCCCTTAGGCTCGATTTTTTAGTTTTAAGGTTTTTGCGGTCCATGCTCCTTAGATTGCTTCTCAGGCTCCCGGATTTTCCTGTTTCGAATTTAGCTTCCACGTTTTACGTGTTAGGGGTCTAGGCTTTACTCTTCTATTATTAGTGACTTAGGTTTAACCTTGCGCTCCATATTTGGCGGGAGTAATGGTTTTTCTACTACTCACGGAATACATCTTTCGGTTTATGGTCTAGGTTATTATCTTCTGGACTCCAGGCTGTAGCGTCCGGGGTTCTGGTGTTTCGTCTACTGTTTACCGTTTCGCGGTTTGTAGTTTGTTCAGGTGTTATCTTTTAAGTTTACGCCTCTGCTTCGAGTTTTGGAATTGGGATCCTTCCTGCTTTAGACGATGTACTCCTATTCCCACTTCTACTATTACGGTGTCGTTATGTCTTGAGCTGTGTGGTGGAGTCCTCAGGTATCTGGTTGAGTTTTTAATCTTCAGGCTCTGGTACTCAGGTTTTGGCCTCGGTTAGTTGGATCGCATTGTTTCGTTTCCCTCGCTTTCTCTTAGAATCTTCTACAGTTCACTGCTAAGATATCCAGGGTTTCATCTTGAGTTTTCAGGGTTTACGGACTAGGATTCCACCTCAGATCTGTTGAGTCACTTCATATTTTTAGTAGCCTCTGTCTCGAGGCTGGGATTTAGGCTCTATCTTCCCTGGTTCACGCTCTAGTGACCGATGCGGTTAGGTGTGTGGCTTTTTTCGTCTTTACGGTTTAGTTTTAATCTTTGAAGGTATAGGCTAAGGGTTAATTGTTCAGCCCCTCAGGTTCGAATTTGTATATTCTTATTCTTAGTGGTTCTTTGTTTAGGATATTTGCTTCAGTGGTCAGGGGGATGGGGGTCCCGTTTAATATTTAGGGGTTAGGTTTCGTAGTTGAGAGTATAGATTTCATTGCATCCTGTTTAGTGTTTACTCGTATATGGCGTAGGTCTCATGTCTCAGTATTATCACCTGAGTGTACTGCCAATCCCTATTGGTTATGACTTATATCAGAGGTGTATATCTATGTTATGCTCTCCGATTCTGGCTTCAGTACATCCTCCCTATTTTAACCCCCCTGGGTCCACCTTTAGGGTTTTATTTTCTGGATTCTATCATCTATCCCTTTTTAACTTGTCCCGTATGGACGATATTCTCTTCTTAGATTTCTCGGTTGGACGCTGAGGATTGATGATTTTCCCTGGGTTTGGTTTGTTGGGTGTAGCTGTCAGGCCTTAGGGTTTAGGCTTCGATTTAATACTTTACGACCTATCGTTGGGAATTTGGCCGTCCTGATTTAGACCTGTTGTTCAATCATGGATGTTGAGGGCTCTGGGCTGTTGTAATTTGGTCTTAAGGGGGCACTTATACTTTGTAATGTGGGGGACTGAAGTCTATCGGGTGCCTCTATCTGTAGTTTGTATGGCTTACGTTCATAGCTTTTCAGTTGATTCTCTGCTGTTAAGGACTAGTCCTAGTTTTATGGTTCAGACTCCCTCTTTATTGTCTACTGCTCCCCGATTATTCTGTTTCCTCTACTGGCTGCCCTGGGGGGTCCGTTTCTCCTCTCCTACTTGTTATGCTCAAGTTATAATTTCCTGAAGGTGCGTCTTCACGTTCTTCGGTTTAAGGGTTATAATTTCGAGGATTCGTCTCTCCACTAAGACCCAATGTTCTAGGGGTTTGCCTTCCGCTTCGACGCGTAAGGTGCACATTTAGCCTTAATGTTCAGCGTGCAGACCTATTTCTTTAAGTTCAGAGTTTACTGTTTAGGAGGTGACTTTCCATTGTTCGGTTTGTGTATCTTCTGGTTATTGTTGCTGCAGGTACTGTTATCTTCTTAGGTATCATTTCTTAGGCTGTATTTTTTAGCTCCGAATGATTAGTTTTCCGATGTTTGATCCAGGATTTGTTGTTTCAGCCTTCCTCTTCCTGTGTTAATTCCTAGGCTTCGATTTCTATGGGGTTTCACGTATGGCTTATTGCTTATTTATGATGAAGTAAGCCTGATGTTTCATGCACTGTGTTGCACAGGCAATGCTTAGGCGTAAAGACTGGAAGTGTATATTGCAGAAGGAAGTTGTCAGTTCCTGCCCCTTCCCCTTATTATATGTTTTCTAGGGCGTAGTGCTTAAGCTGTGCTGTTGGCATTCGGCTTCAGGGTGGACGTTGCTCTCATTATTGCTTATGCTTGCTCTCCATCTGTTACGCTCCTCCTTGGCTTAGGTTCCTGTAATTCTGAGGGCTCCTATCTTATGAAGTTCTGTTAAAGAGTACATTTCTCTTTATATGTCTTACCTATATTCTTTGGTTTTTAGGGTTCTAGTTTACGGAGTTAGGTTGCAGGGTGTAAGCACCTGTCTCATCCGGGTTTTATCCATGGCATCGCGCTGTTGGCTTATGGAGGTGTGGGGTCTTGTTAGGTTTTATTGTTCACTGTGTATTCTTTAATATTTAGGATTAATGCTTTACTCTTTATCCCCCTGGTTCCACCCCTGAGTGTAGTGATCCGGCTCTATCCTCTACGTTTTCGCCTCCAGGTACCCGTGTATTGCCGGGGGGCTCTTTTTACTTATTAGTGTTTATTAGTATTGTCCGATAAGTTATCTTAGGCGGGTAAAATTTATTGATTAGCCGCCTTTGGTACTGTGATCATCCTTATGTTTTTAGGATTTAGGGTGTAGTGTCGGGGTTGCAGGTTTCGGGTACTAAGCTCTATACCTCCTGGCTTAGCCCTGACGGCTTAAGAGTGAGGCCTGTTGCTTAGGGTGTACTGGTACTCTTTACTCTTTATCCTTACGGTTAATCCTTTACATGTGCCGCTTTATTTCGGCGATCTGGTCCTATTCCCTACCGACTTATGCTTAGTATCCTGTGTCGTATCTTGACAGTGTACGGTTCAAATTTCATGGTTGCGGATTCAGCCTTACTGTGTACCACTGAGCGGATACCTTTAGCGTTTCCTGCTTTCTGATGAAGTGTACGGATGTTCCTGCACGCCTTAGGTTTACGCTCTATAGTTTATGTGTACTGTGCAGTGCTCAGGTGTTCGCGCTACGGTTCATGTTTCAAGGTGGTTTCGTGTATTTCGTCCTATTATTCTTCAGGGTATCTCCCCGAATGTTTTTGCGTTAGACATCATGTTTAGTTTCTACAGGTATTAATCTGGGGCGCCATCCTGTATTGCTCCTTCTTTACTTCTTATGGTTTTGATATGTGCTGTATTAATTGGTTTTCAACGTCGAGTTTTTGTGTTGTATGATTTATTGTGCAAGCTTTATGGTTAAGGGCCTATCCTTCCTGTTTCCGGTTCTCTCATCAGCTGCTAAAGTCTATTTTTTACGGTTAACCATTTAATGCTGTTCCGTCGGGATTTACAGTTCGGACTTTAAGCAGCCCCTCACAAGCATCATTTCCCACTCTGCGTCCCCATGTGGTGCCCGTTCCTCTTCGATTTACGTTATTATTTCCTTCCTCCTGTGCTAATGTTCCGCTTCTTACTTCTCTTTCAGGCGCTTTCTCCTACTCTCTCTTCATGGTTTCTTTTTAGTTCTCTGTGAAGATAGAAGAAGAGATATATTCGTAGATTGTTTATTATTCTCCCCATATTTAATATAGCTTAAGCGTGTTAATATAAAGATACGGAGCAGTCAATGTTTAGACTCTGTCTCTTTACTTTATTGAGATATAGCCAGAGGAACATCAGTCTTACTGACCTAGGGCTATTTTCCTGGATGTTTTATTCTCATCCTTTCCCCATAGAATATATTTGTAAAATCTGGGAGTTATACATGCAGCGATGACGCGCGGAATTATAGAGGACATATTCATTTATATTAATGTTAATCCATAGTGTTGTAAGATTTGTTGCCCATGAGTTGTCTCTCATATTCAAATGTGTATCCTCCTCTTCGTCTATGTCACTAGTGGATTTGTCTTAAGGATATGGATATTATGGGAGGGGTACATAACACGTCTGCTTCTTCACG